TTTCTCTTTAAGTTACAATGTAAACTGTAATATTCTGCTGGTTTCTGCCTGCTATTTATTTTATCTTATTTTTTACTTTTAAATCCGTATCGACACCAGTCGAATTCACTGGTTAGGCACAAATGTAAGATTATTGCTCTCTTCAAGTACTATAAAGTTGTATTTTTTGCCATACTTACCAAAACAATTGTTTGAAACCCGTTTATTTATTTGGTTGAAACTTTCTATAATTCTAGTTAATCATGTGTTAAGTAAATTAGACTAATTTATTTGGATTCATTTGCAAATCATTGTTAAGGGAACTCCACAGCAAAAAATGTACAGTGTTTTTTCTGTGGTAAAAATATAAATTACTCCAAGTAGCTACTACACATTTGTATGCTAAAGAGCTGAACTATCTAATCTCAGAATACTAGCAGCTGCTTGAAAAACACTTTCGTACAGATAATGCGAGCCAAGACTTATATTACCAAATCCCTTTATCAAAGAAGTCCAACGTTTCTTCAAGCAAGTCTCGGACAAACGTTTCACACACAAGAACCAACAAGATGTTAACTCAACTATTTCAAATACACATAAACAAGCGTGCATTCACTCGCGGGGATGTGTTAGGATACTTCGTTTCAAGCCAAAAGATACGCTGGTATTAGCCAGCTCGAGTAAACAACGGAGAAAACTGTCCATTTAGGTGTGCATAAATGTATGTGCTCCTTTCTTCCCCACTTCCCTTTGCGCCTCCTCCGTCTACGTGTCACTACAATGGATCCTTTTTACGCTTACAAGCTTGCCTTGAAATAGAATCCACACACCCATGCAGAGGTACGAGCGTAAGAACCAGCCTCAGATCTAAATAAAACATGTGCTGTGAGCTCGGAGACAAACTTAGGCATTCTGGCTTTTGTGCACACATGTGAGTCCTTTCGGTCGCGAAGTGCGTATGTGATGTTGGGATACATGTACGGAACAAGTAAGCAAAGATAAAAGAGAGAGAGAAAGCGATGAATAATTGAGCTTTTGGAATTGAATTTTACAGAGATGAGAATGAACCCATTTTAATCTTTGTTTCGTTGTACTTAATTAAAAAATCTCAGCCTTTTTTTACTTGTAATTTGTATGCTTGATTCTCTGTTGTTTCGATCAATAACTGAACTTAACGAAATTTTGATTAAATGTTGACGACGTTCCACTAAAATTGACAGTGGTCTTTTCAATAAAATTAACACTTGCAAGCGAGATTCAAAGATTTCATCTGTCCCAGTAATTACTTATAATCTTTCAATATTGTTCTTCTTGCATTATAGGCGTTTCGGATAAATCGAGCACTATTTTAAAGGGAATTATGTGAAAGTTTTTATGTCTTGTATGTGTAGTAAAATAAGAAAAATGTATTTAAATGTAAATGACGAGCGTTGTCATGTTAAAAAGTTGTTTTTTCCCTTTCCTAGCCAAAAGTACGTACCTCCTGGTCGGTCTGCTTGGCAAGAAAGAGTCTCTTTTGTTTACAGTCAAGACACGACTTTTTTCGTTTCGAGCCGAGACCAATTAACCTAAGTTTAGTGTCGCAGCAGTATTTTATAGAGTTGTGTGTTTACGAATTACAAGATAGTTGAGGATATCGTACAGTGACAAAATCAAAAAAAGTAACAAAAAAATACAACGGCGATCCTCCGTAAATAATAAATAATAAATCATTATTCGTGTTAAACAATAAAAAAATAAAAACTTGTTTTCGTAGTTTAATAAAATTTAGAGGTTATATTTTATTTTCTTTAGGATTTTGTGTCCATTCCTATGACTTCATTTTTTATTTTGTAAACTTGTGCATGTGCTTTTTGACGCCCACCCCCGACCTGTAAGGCCTCACCTTCGGCTTGGCCGTCGTAGGGTCGGTGGGCGTCAACACACACATGCACGGCAGCGCAACAGCAAGCATAGTCGAGCAACGATTAGCTGTCAGCTCGTAAACTCACACTGGTTCCACATAAATCCTTAATACCTATAAATATTAGCGTATGCAGGTAATATTAATTAAAAACTTAATTTCGGCTAGGAGAGGGAGAAAAGTACTATACGATACTCGGCCGGACAGTTTGAGTCGATGGCATGCGACTTATGACCATAGAGATATAATAAATAGAGCAGGGAAGCGAGACTGAGGCATGTCGACTGGAGTAGAGAGAGAAAAAAGTTTTCGGTACCTGTCTATCTCTCTCTAATTATGCTATGATTGGTTGAGATTGAGACTCACATCACCACATATTAAAACCTAAGCCCCTCCCACTCTGCGTACTGCAAACTTCAGCCCTCCTCTATTTTTTAGTGCTATTAAACGAGAATCATTATTTTTACTGATGATAGTAGAAATACGTATAGAACAATGGATTATTTGTTTTAAATAATGAGCAACTGCTCCAGCAGTGTATTTGATAATTTTATCTAAGTATTCTGTTTCAAGACATCCATCTTTTTTACTGTAATCGTGTTCCACAAGATTATAATTTCAATGCAATAAATCATTAACACGAATAGATGCGGTTTCGTTTAACAAGAGAGGGTGCCTTTCTTGCTTGACATTTGTTGTACAAAACGATGCCGTGCACAATACATACCTTATTTTTTTTTTATATTATGGTGCTCTACGTCCGGCTCCTTTAATAAGGGCACTACTATGGGCACTTTGCACTTGGGGGAAAGGGACAAGGAAAGGGATGGGAGGCCTCCCATTACTGGGAGGGGGGTAGGGGGAAATTAGGAAATTTTTGCTGCGAGAAGGTTGCCTAGACTCTCCTCGAGGAGCATTGGGTGGTGAAAAAGCACATGTGAAAAATCACAGAAGTACTTGCCCGAAAAAGTCGCACTGGCCGGGAATCGAACCACGGTCTCCCGCCTGAAATATATACCTACACATATTCCTCACATCATGTATTTAAATATCTGTACTGTAGCCAATCAGGTCAGATTTAGAGAGAGATGGACAGATACCAAAATATTTTCTCTCATTCTGCTCCAGTGGACAGTGCTACTTACATGAGACCCTATACCTTCCCTGCTCTATTTATTATATCTCTATGCTTATAACGGCCGAGGCGAAGCCGAGGCCGTCATAACCTCGCAGCCATAAACTCCAACTTTCCGGCCTAGTGTCGTAATCTACTATTAGTTGTTGATTTTGGTTATAAAAAGGCGTTCAGTTTGCGACCAACTACAATAACTGAGAGTCACATTTTGTTTGTCAGCAATAAATTTTCTTTCAATTCGATATTTTTTCTAAACACGTTTTTTTTTTTTTTTTTTTTTTTCGCGCAAAGCAGATTTTGCCAGCCACAATAGGTATTTTAGTACTCTACGAGATGCATGTTGTTTTCGTGTGATCTGAAAATCAGTAACCCATCTCAAGACAAAAAATTATGCAAAAGTGACAAACGAAACATGGTTGCAACAAAAATCGACGATAAAACCTTTTAAAACGAAATGTATATCAACGACCGTTCGCCACCTTTAATCCAGACGCATAGGTCACAGCGCTACGAAGCCCTGATCGCAGGCATGCCCCGCGGTCTTTCAAATATTACTTATGCTTCCCTGTCATCGTCGTGCCGCTCCCGAGCTTCCCTCGACGCAAGCCTTCTTGCCGGGAACTGGGTATTTTTTGCCCCATCGTTCGCGCGCCGCGCCTCGGGGCCGATGTGTTTGCCGTCACCGTCACGATGAGTGTATACGCAAGTACATACAACAGAGCCGGAGAGAAGTGAGAGGAGTGAGTTGACGCGAACGAATGGGAGGCGGTAAAAGGGAAAAATGACCGGGACCAGGGGGACGCTTGTAAAGAGGGCGTATTTCCCATGGGCTCTTTTTGTACCTAGCACGATACATGCAATCCACTGGCATCGACGACGCGACTCTGGTGCCGTATAGATACGTGATAGGAGCGGCTACGACGACAAAGACCTGGAATGAAATTTAAACAATACGCCCGCGCTCTCATGAGCTTGGCTGAGTTCCTTGGGCGCTTGGTTACTTCACTGTGCTTCTCCTCACCACTTTGAAGGCGAGATGGCTGAGCCAACAACGTTGTACCATGCTTTTGAAAGCTATTTTATCGGCCGAGAAATGCAGGTACATCCACGATAAAGTATATGGTGCTGTGGAGTACCATGTGAGTGTTCGTGAGTGCTTAATGCAAGTTGGGACGGACCTTATCGAGAGGGTGAAAAAGAACGATATTTGTGAAAGCGATGCTGGTATCCGAGATCGGAGCAGCCTGTAACCGGTGTCAATGGACCGAACGGTACTCGAAGTGTTAAGCTCTACTCTGCTTACGTGTACCTATATCGTCGTTTTAGCCAAGGGGAAAAAGATTTTGCTGGAGCAACGATCTCTTGTCTTTCTGCTACGTGTGGTTGATTAATTTTTTTTTTTTTTTACGCGTTGGCAAAAGAGAAAAGTATTTTCAAGGGGGAAGAAAACTATGCACGGGAGTTGGGCAGGCTTGGAATGTTGTGCACATCCTGAAAAGTTTATCATTTTCATTTCACACGGGCATTGTATATGATTTTGATTCCAATTTCGATCAGAAACATATAATATTTATTTTTGTTCAAAAGTTGAAGAATAAAAGCATGCCACGAATTTGGAAAGTTTCAATAGTCATACTCTAATGTTTGTAGAGAGTTTGCTTTTTGTAAAGAACCAAATGTATTTCACCAACTTTCCTTAGTTGGTATTTAATCAGACTTTCTGTTGAAATAAGAAAACTAACCAAAATAAGTTCAAAAATAATCTAATCTTGATCAAAGCATCAAAAGCACCATTTATCTCTGCTTATCAAACATTCATTAACTCGTTGATGTGTTTAAAATCACAAGTCCGTACTTAATATCCACACACAGGCATAATCAATAGTCATATATGACTCTAGAAATGCTTATAATAATAATTATAACAATAATAATAATAATAATAATGATAATAATAATACATAGAGATAACACTCTACTCACATTCAACATCGACGAGGATCCTCTTACTAATCGAGGGTGGCACACCATTGCTAGCTATGCACAAATACGATCCCATTTCCATGCGCGTAATTTTCGTCAGATTAAGGCTGTTACCCTCATACATCGGCACTGTAACAAAGAAGAAAATACACTTCAGATTTATGAACAAAAAAACAAATAAACCAACTTGCATGTATGTACTGTGTCAAAATATCATTATGTACGGAAGCGTGGGCTACATCTCATACATTTGAGCTTACATTAGACTTTTTCAGCTAATATCTGACACTTACCATACAACTCTCAGATAATCAACTTTCATAGACAGCCATGAAAGATACTTAAAAGATACAAAAAAAAATGTAACAAAACAAGACCATATTGATCAAAAGCTTATAAAAATGTGTTCCAGTGGTTCATTGTTATTCTGAATATAATGTCAATTGACCGATAGAATTTCTAAAAGACTAAATGTCAAAAATATGTGAAGAAAATTACGCTACTATACTAAATGTTTCAAAAAAGTATCACGAGGAATTTAACAAAAATTATTTTAACCAATACATCATTCAAACAGCTATTATAAGATATTCGGGAACCAAAATTATTACCAAGACTCATCACACTCTCCTCTACAAAATTTTTTTTTTTTATATTAAAGTGTACTAACCCGTAAGGGTATGTACAAAACTCCTCTACAAATGGTGGATATATTTTCTTTATTTTATTTGCCGTTTCATTCTAGCCTAAACTTATACATACAATTCAAAACATTACTTATAAGTTCCACACTTGCTGATAACCCACCGTGCTCACTCAGTAACTCCTTGCATATACATCTCGTTGACCTTGTAGAGCAGCTACACCACTTATCGCTACAGACTACACGAGAGTAAAAGTTTCTGACCCTCAACCTTGTTTGTTTATGTTCGTCATCGCAACTTTCATTTTTTCTTTGATTCTTTTTCCAGAACTAACTTTGCAGAGTTACGCTTTCACCTCATACCTCATACCACTTGTGGGTAACACATAACCATGCCTCACACCGAATCTAGCAGCACCAATATTTTATGACCCTTTTTGTAAAACATACAACGTGTACAGCCTAATTGCATCAATCCAAGTGCACAATTATAGGTAAATATATTTACAACGCATACACTAGAATTCGCTAGAATTCATATTTCAGAGTTGCGAAATGTTCTTAAAATTTAATGGTAGCACTGTAAAAATGAAATCTCACAGTTTTTAATGTTGCAAAGTGAGTGTGCATACAAGTAGTATACATACAACAAATTGGAACACAAGAAACCACAGGAATCTCTCAAAACTCCCTAGAACCTTGCTCGGCAATTGGCTAGAACTTTATTCAAGATCAATCAAGTCCATGTCAAAGAGCATTAAAATAGAGTCGTCGAATTCAAGAAGTCTTGAGCCATTTTTCTCATATTTGCCCTTCTCCGCCAACCCATCCACTTACTTTTACCTCTTCGCAACCTAGTCTCCTCGTGTTGCATCTACCCACCAGTTCCACCACGGCTAACTTCACTTAATATCTCCAACTGTAAGAACGTCACTTTACTCGTGTTTGTACGGGTATGTGATGTTAACGACCGCGAGATGCAGTAACTTTTAACGAGCTTTCAGTTTCGTCACTTTTCTCGCTCATGCCAACTTCTGTGGCTCTTAGTTCCAATATTTCTCTCACACTTTTTTTTTATTTCTTATTAGCGCTGTTACATTTCATCTATGATCCTCAAATCCTGCATTACAAGACTATTTATTATACGTATAAAACAGAATGAAAAACAAGACCTCACTTGCAACGTCAGTTGTAGCAGTTCTACCATTTTCCGACGCATTCAGCCTACAAGTTGTAAGCTACTGTGGATACTGACACCATTTGGGTAATATATTGATGAAAATTCTTAATAATATTACTAATTTTGCAGTAACAATTTACGTCAGACGTGACTTTTCATGTCTGCCTTTTCTGCTCTTATTTAATGTACTGTAATGTCGCTAAATAAGAAGTAAAGTACGCTAGTTATATTCAAAAGGACTGAATAGGTACATGTTGTGAGCGACTGGTGTATGTGAGGGTAAGAGCAAAACTCTGCCTAGATGATAATGCAGACGCTGCATAATGTTAGAGTTGGCCAGATTAGTGCAAACTTCGTTCCTTGTACGCGTGAGGATTTATGTAGTCGGAGTCGGGTGCACGACTCGGAAATACGTGGCTCTGCGTTGCTTCGTACTATACACTGCCCGTGCAAGATGCTACAAGTTAAAAACCGTTAGTCGACATGACGTTACATAAGTTGTGGAAAAAGGGGGCTATTCAAAGTATTTTATTACACTTTTGAATTAATATATTGCCGATAATAATTGACTTCCATTGACTTCTCGTATAAATACATAAGCAACCTTTTCCCGAAATCCCGTGAATGTTGTACTCTATCGACTCATACCCTTTGCAAAATTTATGAATACTACAAGTTTGCGAGTAAATGCGAGACCTACGACATGGGTTGGCATTTTTGCACGAGGAAGCCTCTTTAATGTCTTGTACAGAATAACGTGATTTTATTGTGTTAGTTTTTTTGTGAAATAAAATGTCTTTAGAATCATAAGACTTTTTTTTTAATTTTTTTTTTTCCTAATATAAGTAGTACATATGTGAGTGAGGTGCATGTGAGAATTGAAATTTTCCGGAATCAGTCAAAAAATATTCCACAACTTAGTAGTTAGATAGGCCATTTTTGTTTCAAGAGTAGAAATTTACTTTCTTAAATAATAATATCATGTCAATCGGAACATTTATTATTTTATCAGTTTCGTAGCATAGTGAAAAATAAAAGATTTACTTCACACTAATGTCCCTTAAACTTCAATGGAACTTAAAAAAATATTAATTGAAATAGGTTTTTTAAATGAATAATGAACAATTTGTAGAAAAATATGCACAATATTAAAAACAGGTTTTTTTAAGTTTAATGCATAAATGTTTAATTAAATCATTTAAATCAAATTTTAATAAAAAGAGCTTCAGTACTCTTTTCTATGAAAATCTTCTGCAATTATTCCGCAAGTAGCCAATGCACTCATCTGACGCAAATCTGCTGCAAGTAGCCGTCGAATACGACGTTTAGCTTTCGCACTATACTGAACGCAAGTCTTGTGCAATTCTTCCGCAAGTAGCCAACGCACTCTTCTGATATAAGTCTGCTCGTAAGCAAGGCAATGCTACCAGGGTGAGTAGGAAATATACAACAACTCCAAAACTAATTTTCGTATTTACTGCTTATTCCGATTAACATACATGATATATCATACCTTTCAGAGATGAGCCAGCTGTATTAATTTGATGAAGGGCTAAAATAAAAGGGTGGTTTCATAATGACAAAAGCCTCATTAACTGTGCAAACAGTGAAAATATTCGACGATTCATCATAAGGTTAGTATACTTGGATCATCGGAGAGGTCTGCCTCATTCGCATCCAGCACGAGCTGTCCACAATTATAGAACAGATTTAAGATTACTTTAATCATAAAACAGCTCATACTCTACAAGATGTCTAACAATACAAACCATACTTTCATTTGGTTTTTCCAGATTGATTCTTATTAGTTCGTATACTAGTGTTTATTCAGCTAAGTGTTTCTAAATATTATTTAATTTCATAAGTACTGATATTTTAAGCAATAGTGCTGTTTTTAATAATTGTTCTCTTGTTGTTTGAAATAATTTAAATGTAAAATATTTTAAAATATTTTTCATTGACAAAGTATAATTTAACTTCTATTAAAATTTTTTATTTACTTTACAGAATTTTTAGATTTTTATCCATACCTAGTATATACCTTTTACTTGCATTATATAGTGAAGTATATTTACATTAACTCTATTTTTTTCTTAAATTGTAGTATTTCCTTTGAAGGCACAGTTTCATCATTCTGTTACTAGAGACAAATCGCTTTTCCTTGGGACATAAGTAATTTGCTCGTAAAGATGAGTCTATCTGATGAGTCTATTGCCTTATCATTCAAGCAATTCCTATTTTTGTCGACGTATTATTTATTCATAGCGCTGAATATACTTTCAGGATCTGCAATTCGGTGAGTAATTGACAAGGCCATTTTAGAATGAAACTCAATTCATTATACAAGTATTCTCCATTACAATTTTGTAAATTAAAAGTACAGTTCTAAAACTCATTTTGTCTCTTTTGATCTATGTTAAATAATTAATCGTAACTATTTAACTTTATTATCCGGTAAAAACTGGATGTTTGTGGATTTGAGTCTCGCGTTCCCTGACGGGCCGCGGGACTAGCAAACTGCCCAACTATTTATCAGTTCATAGGAAAGAAGAGAGAGAAGATGTTATATTTAAAAAATGTATGTATTCAAATACCTTTATCTTTGTTTTCATCTTTTTAGTCTCTGTCTCTAATGTCACCAATCAACTCGTAACTCCAAGCAATATGTGACATCGACTTATTACATGCAATCAAATTATAATTTCAGCACTTTTACTTGGTACAACCCTTCTGTATTACTCTTCTTTTGGTATTACTAATTTATTAATGAGGCACTCCATATAATTTCGTTGTACTTATATTTTCATTTTAATATTTTAATTGTATTTATAACAGGTTTCTTTAAAGTTGAATAGTGTACCTGTGAATTGATTCAATGAATTAATAACCTCACTCGATGAGAGGTGGGAAGCTACTAACTTAAACGCCCTGCGAAAAAATGCACCTTGCGCAAAGCTTTAGTTAAAACTTTTTTGTCTTATAGGGCCGGTACTTGCTGACTTCGCGTGTTTATACTTAGCGACTCGGTTTGGTTGTCACTTGACACTTCCGACAGCCACGAAGTACACAGTCAGCTTTGTTAGGCGACGACTTTCGTTAAGTACGACTCTTTCAAGAGTCTTAAAATTTTATTATTGGGGGAATAAATATAATACAAAGTAGACTAAAATAAAAATTTATTTATTTACGCAAGTCGCCACTTAACAATCCATTTTTCAATTAGGATGAAACTGATGGGATGGTAACACGCATCTCATTGCATCCATATTTTTTCCAACTTGCTAAATAGTTAAAAAAAAAAAAAAA